ATTTGCATTTTACTGCTATGACTTTTTACGATGTACTATCTATAACGTTTTTATGACTTTTTTGAGATAATATACTCTGACTTTATTCGACATGCTATACTACTTATAGAGACGTATTTATGACTGAGAGGAATAGAGCTGAAACAAGTGGTTTCAATAACCACGGATAAAGTCCCTGCACACAAATGTCTCTTTTTAGAAGATAAGAATATAATATTGTGGCTTTTTTGGGTGACACGACTTCACACCTGAATGAACTGAATTTAAAGTTGCAGGTCAATTCAGTTCATCTTTCTAAAGTGAAGTACTTTATTTTAAGATGCACCATTTTTAAAAGCTTTCTGTTATGTAACTTATTCTTCAATCCAGTCCATATTTTAATTTCTTTAAATTCATGTATTTGATTATTAATTATAATTCATCCAGTTCAATTTGAAAACTGACAAATATTGTTGAGATATTATTCAATTGCACTTTCTATCATTTATTTTACAGCCAGTTGTTGACTACATACAGACGGTAATACAACTGTTCGGCTACTTCAATACATATGGTACTAAATCATTGCGCAAGTTAGACATTATTGTGATGTTCCCGACCTTTGCGTGAGGAAATTCTCTCGAAGTGGACCTCGGTGAATTTTAATTGAATACCCCTGCTCTACACCTACATGCACTGAAGTTTGTCACGGTGAAGTCAAATACATATATTAGCAGTTCTCGTTGTTCGGATAATATTTAAGCTCTAAATGTTTGCATCTTAGTTGCACATTTTATCTCTTTTAATTATATCTTCACATAACAATTCTATATTTTCAATCATATTTTGGTTGTTTGACCATCATTTTTTCACCAATTGCTTAAATCTAGGCACACAGAAGAATCCGGCAGGGAAGCAACATGAGTGTTTATGAACAAACTTTGAGTGTTATCCAAACCTCTAAAAGTAAGCGGCGAATGTTAAAATGACACCCAGGCTGTCTGTTCTAAACCTTTATTTAGCTCGCAGATACTTACACGGCTTCTCTCTCTTCTTCTTGAACCTGGGGCGGGACGAGAACAGTTTGGAATTGTTTGAGGATCAGTTTGTATTTACGGCTGCCATCTAGCGAGGCAGTCGTACAAAGATTGTATATCATAAAAGGGGGACAAGTGCACACAGAAACTAAGAGATCACACAGTGAACAGCCCAGAGACACTGAGGCAGAAAGTACAGTAGTTGCTCTAATACGATGATTGTATGTTTGTCCCTGCCAGTTGTCAGGGCGCTGCATCAGCCCACCGCTCTAATGACAGCTTGTCATACTAAAATGTCCCACCTTCCTTCAAAACACACAGGGAAAAAACATTCTTCTTTCGTTCTTTCTTTTTTTGACATAATTTGATCCTTTATGTTGCTCTCTCTCTCTCTCTCTCTCTCTCTCTCTCTCTCTCTCTCTCTCTC